CAGGTATTTAACAAAGTTTATAACAGACACCGACCTTTACATCTTCAGGTATTTAACAAAGTTTATAACAGACACCGACCTTTACATCTTCAGGTATTTAACAAAGTTTATAACAGACACCGACTTTTACATCTTCAGGTATTTAACAAAGTTTATAACAGACACCGACCTTTACATCTTTAAGTATTTAACAAAGTTTATAACAGACACCGACATTTACATCTTCAGGTATTTAACACGAATACACTTTGGTTTTCAGCATCTTCGTACATATGTATATTTTTTTTAACTTCCAATAAACAAATTTTTTTTCTGTTTGGTATTAAAATACTTTAAACTCAATACTGTGCCCTAAATGTACAGTTTCTTCTACATTTTTTTTTATCTCTTCGAAACAGGAATTTCAAAATAGCAGATGTTGCCGTAAGTGATGCCAGCTGATCGAGACAGCAGTAGCGCCACCAGTGGGAAAAGTGTCCCCAATGGCACAACGACAAGAGTAGTTACAAAAAGAGTAGAGCCAGCACCACCCATAGAGATTGTAAGTTAACATGTGGTATCTTCATAGAGTATCTCATAAAAAAAGTGAATACTATATCTCATTGGGCTTTGCCTTGAAGTTTAATCGTTACATTTAAATATACTCTTTTGAGATAGATTAATTACACGTGAGAAACTAAAGTTTCCCAGTTGCGCAAGAATACTAAAAAAAAAAAAGAAAATACACAAATGTTCAATAGATGGCGCCAGCAGTTACCCCTTCCACGAACTGAGCAGCTTACTGTACTTTTTGTCTTAACTTGTAAACATTCTTTTTTTTTTTTGCACGAGATCTTATTCTTCGTTTATTCACATTGTTTAACCTGAAGTTTTAATTGTTTTTTTTTCTTTCCTAGTTACCCGACGGCACTCCAACATCAAAATATGGTAAGTGTCATACTTAGTTAATATGATAATACTGTTGGTTTACCGGCGCTAGACATTCCTGGACGTTACATACAAATAAACAACACATGGTGTTTTATCTGGTATCAAAATCCAGATAGAACACCACTTAAAAGATTAAACACTCAAATAAAATAGTTACTATGTAGTAACAAAATTAGTTGTATCCACTTTCATCCAGAAATGATTAGTAGTTGATATTCAAACAGCTTTTAGTGAGGTTCGTTTGAAAAAAAAATCTCAAAAAAGAACAACAAAAAAGCATAGACATAACTAGTAAGCTCACTTTCACTGAGAAGAGACACCTGGTGATAGATTATGTCACTTGAAAATTTAAATAAATCTTACCAGACAAACAAAATTGAAGAAGGTAACGCCGAAAATATCGTTAACCGAGAGGGTACCCAACTGACAAAACAATGCATTCCAATCTTTACAAGTAGTTACGTTAAAAAAAATTATATTTAATCAGTTATACTGATGGCCATGTTGATGTTTAGTTTCGATCTTAGTTCATAGCTTGTTCTGATTGGAAGTTAATGTTAAATAGTATGTTTTATCTTAATTACTGCATGTATGTTGATGTATAAGGTTATTTTGAATAACCACTATGTTTAATATTTTTCATTCAGACTTGTAGTATTTATCACTGTATCTCGGGATTGATGACAACACGTGAATTACTCTAGCGTTCAGGACTGGGTGCTCTTGTACAAGTTATCACAGTTCCTACTTTTTATTATGTGGTTTTATAAATAATACGGTCAATATTACATCTTCGGTTTCTATATATTTTTAGAGGAATGGACAACATCCAGGAAGATTGTTAATCACAAAACCAGACAGGTATGAAAGAAATGAATTTTTTCCAAGAATTTTGATGCACTACTTTTGTGTGCGCAACTGTCTTCCCTCTGCGCTCGCAAATTTTTACATACTTTTTCCAAATGTATGTTCTACAGAGTGTCTACAGTTGACTGCAATAGCTGTATTATGTTTATATAAGGATATATATTTAAGTGTTAACGAATTTTGCATATTTCATTTAGTGGCCGCTAGATGGCGGCACTAGCAGTATTACGATTGAATGGGCTTCACAATGGACTATCTGTTCTTCTGGCGTTGTAAGTCCGCAGACATACCGCTGTGCCACTTGGGAGCCGAATTAAATATAATTTGTTTTCTTTTTTTTATGATAATTCTTACTCTAAAATTTGATTTGTAAATAATTTAAATAGCACTGATAATAATTAAAATTTCACACTATAATAGTCGGTACTCATGAAAATTTATAATATAAATATCGTCTAAAATACTTCTGTATATCTCTCGTATCCCAACTATGCTGATGAGACCTCGTCGGCACTGGATATGGCACATGTAGTGTGGTTGACATATTATAAGATATTCTTCGTTTTGATTCATAAGTTCTTAGAATTATACAATGAATTGTTGTTTTCAGTAAAATATTTCCATTTTCAATGTTATACGATGTTTTGTTAATTTTAATCTTATGAAATATTTTAATGTAAGATGAATAACATCACTAGGTAGAGACGCGAGTGCAGCGCCAGTTGGTTTACGAAGATGGAAAAGTTGTAGCTGATAGTGGACCTCAGATCTCTACTAAAACTACAGAAGACAATCGTAAAGAAGAAACCGAAAACACAGATGTAAGGATGGGATCACTTTGTCCAACAGTGATAACTGGTAGATGTAAAAATGAACTGTAATAATGCAGATGAGTCGTAAAAGTTTGTTGTAAACAGCTTCCCTGTATTCATTGCACAACGTTCTTTGTTAATGTAGTAACCTATATTTTTATTGTTGTAATTTATTTGTTAACTAGAGGACGTAGAATGCCTAAACAGTTCTAAGGATGTGACGTCAAATTTTTATTCTAGTATATTGGTAGATATATTATAAATACGAGATAGTTGTTAGGTGGGTAGATTGATTTCAAGGCAGAGAGTGAACCAGTCAGTGTGTGTGAGCTATTACGGTTACAAATAAGTTGATTTGTTTTACACTAGTTAGAATCGTTTGTAACGTAGGCCTACAACAAATTACAGCAATGTACAATTATTAAAGTAATTTATTATCGTTACGTGAAGTGGATGTTGAGTTATTTGCACGAGATAATTGAAAAGAACCCGCTAACGAAAGAACTATGCTATCACATTAATATAAATACTGTGGTGGACTTGTACATCAATTTTGAAACTAAAACTTTTAATTTACAAGCAATACAGCAGTTATTAGAATTCTTAGATATAGTTTTGTTTTAATTCACTTTACAAGCTAACAAGAATATACTACCCTCTCTTTTTTTTAGCATAAGTCCACGGGTGGAGAAAATCTGGGTCCTCATTACATTGCTGACCCTGGTTCAGTGCGAGTAATTACAGAGAAAACTGAATCACGTCAAACCACGAGGGAGAAGAAAGAAGAAAATGTGGAACTGCACGATGAAGGTTTCCGGGAACTGACAGGCACAGTAAGTACATAATTATTACAAACTGGATAAGCAACAGTTGCAATTTGAGTAGCTTTAAAGATGCACGCAGGTTTATTCCTTTATGCCATTTTAGAATGAATTATTATTATTTATAAAGAATAAACGAGAAAATTATATAAGAAATTTAAAGTAAATATTTGTATTTTACAACTTTCATTTCTTTTTAATTAATTTCTAGGATCTTCACCAGAAGGCACTGGGAGCTCCTGATCATGAACTTTTCAGTCGAGAAATTGATGTCAGAAAACCATTCCCAGGGAAAGTCACTCATTACTCTTGTCGTGGTCAGAAAGTGACAGATAAAGAGGAAGTTAATGAAGTATCCGAGTGGAAGGACGGGGAAATGACAACAGAGACCACTACTACACGGCATCATGAAGAACAGCATGACGAAGAAGTTCCTGAGGACGAAACCGACGAGTCGGCGATGCCAGAAATATCCACGGAAACAATAAACAACATTGAGTACTATGGAGATAACATCAACCAGGAGAGTTTGACTGAAAAACTAAAACGAGAGAAAAAAGAGAGTCTCAGACAAGTACTTTCTTCAGAGCGACAGGATGAAGTCTCCAAAACTACAGTGGATGTAGAACAAGAGGATGCCATCAAGAAAATTGAAACAAACCATTGGGTAAAGAGCCATTTTGGCTCGAATAATGGCAATGACTATGGACCAGCAACCACTAAAACGGCTAAAAATGTTATTCACATTCAACTGGTCAATAATTCCAAACCTCCCTCTTGTGTCCGAATGGATAAAAATTTGGTAGAATATAGGAATACTTCGAAATGCTCTCAAGAAGAATCGCTTTCTTCCTCAGAAGGATGGACTTGTGACAAAAATAAACATTTTCTAGGGGTATCCGAATGGGATTCGAATCCTCGTAGACTTTCTGAAGTTCTAACTTCTTCTTCGCCATCACATAAAGAAAATACCAAATCTATCTCACCAGCAAACTCATGGAAAGATAACTCCAATTACGGTTCATCCATCTATCTGACAACCACGAGTTCACCAAAATGTGATTCAACATCTTTGAGGAAACACTCTAACCCATGGAGGTCGACCTCTGTTATCAGAGACGACTTCTGCAGAACATCTCTGGATGATCAGAAGGAAGATTCTCATACACACAATAGGCATGAGCCTTTCCACTCAAACAACAATTCTTTTGATAGATCCAAGATTCACGGGTCTCACTCCCCAAGGGATACTCCTCGAATGTTTACAATGTCTGATGAATCCGGAGCTCCCAGAAACTCTTCTTTCGTGAAAGAAGATTTTGATCATACCCTGCCACGAGATACAAAATTTAAGAGTGAACCATATATCAGTTATTTTTACACCTCAGTGAAATCTTCCCCTCAAGATAGTGACAGGAAAGATAGCGGTGTCCAAGTGGATCTTTTGGAAAACAGTCATTGTGTAACATTACCTTGGCAATCTCCAGTGCATCCTTTGAGGGTTTTTGACGAAAGAGATATCCAAACTTTACCAAGAGCTATTTCTAAGAACCCTCAACAAGAGCAAACAAAACATGTTGCGGCAAGGACACCTCGATCTTTCTACTTTGGAGACGAATGTGACATCAGCTTCCACAATGATAGTAAAAATAAAATATATCAATCTCAAAATTTTGAGGAAACCAACAGTCACACACGATTGTTAAACCTGAACAACGGTAACCTTGAGCAGCCGGACGGTCATTACACAATAGAACAAAAAGTCAAAATAAAGGACAATCCCCAAAAGTCGTCCATTCTTTTAAATACAGGAGATCTAAAGAGTCCCCATTACAAAACTGAACTAGACTGCAGTACTGATGATAACTTTGGGAATCAAAATCACTATTGCAAAGTGATGAACAGTGATGCATCTGGAAGAAAAGATTCCTATCATCATAATATTTATAGCAACATAACTCACGGGAATAATCAAAACGGAAATGACGTCACAATCACTTCTGTCAGTCATGAAAAACGTAAAGAGTTCATGCAAGGTCTTCTTGACTCTGCTACTCCAGAAAATGATATTATTTATTCGATACCTTCAAAAAATGATATGAAAAGACGACAACATCAATGCTCTCCTCCACCTCCACTCCCCCATATTGAAAAAACTTCTTCCACTCCCCCACCAAGTCTTACGAAAGTAGATTATTCACCATCTGAATCAGAAGAAGAGGCTCATCCACGCCCGATCCCACCTCCCCCAGCTGGAGGACTGTTTGATAATAATACTCTTCCGAAGTTTCGTTCAGAGAAAAGTCCCATTAGTGCTCCAGTGACTAAAGCCTCTTCGACTACAACACTGGAAATCAAAGGAGTGTCCAGTAATGCCGGTACAACGCTTTCACCAAATAACACTCATCACGAACGTGGGGGATTCGACGTACCTGTCAGGCCACCTCGCAGGCCTAAAGCAGTGGTGGTCGAAGTTCGAGACTGGGATAACAGATAAACATTTTTTGTCGATAAAAAGCCTACTAGTGCTGTAATATCAAATATTAGGCTTAACAAGACATAACTTATAATTTTAGAGGTCAGATGAAAAACAACACTGGATGAAATATTACCCCGATAAAAGTCAGTTCACATTCCCATGCTGTTACAGCTTGGAACAAAGTACCTTCATTATAGTTAGACAAACAGATGTTCTCGTGTAGTTTAGATAAAGTGTTTATTGCTGTGATGAAGCTGTACAGAGTTTAACCTACCTTGTCGTAAAATTTATATATATAAAACTAAAGTATGTATCATTGTGAACAGGCCCGTAGCCAGAGGAGGAGTTCGAAGAATGTGACCAAATCCCCACTGGCTAAAAAAGGTCACCCAATGTAGAATAATGTAGAAAAATAATAAGTCTCGCCATTCAATTGTGATTTATAATTGATTATAATTAATACCAATATTAATAGTAATAATGTTACTTATTTAATACTGAGAAATCTATAGAGTTTAGGCCTGAAGATGTTCCCCACTAATTCATAATTACTAAAAATAATAATGTTACTTACTTAATACTGAGAATATTTTAGAGCTTAGGCCTAAAGACGTTTTCTACTAACTTATGGGTACTAATAGTAACAATACAAATGTTACTTACTTAATACTGAGAATATTTTAGAGCTTAGGCCTAAAGACGTTTTCTACTAACTTATGGGTACTAATAGTAACAATACAAATGTTACTTACTTAATACTGAGAATATTTTAGAGCTTAGGCCTAAAGACGTTTTCTACTAACTTATAGTACTAATAGTAACAATACAAATGTTATTTATTTAATACTGAGAATACCATAGAGTTTAAAGACGTACGCTAGAGAAATAAATAAAATATTGAAAAACTTACTGCTTTTCGAAACTTGGTACTCAAAATAGATCATACAAATTTAGTTTCTAGTTTTCAGTGTTCCTACATAAAACCACGTTAGTGCCTTATGCTTGCTAGCTAACACTAAACAAAAAGGTCATTTGATTTTAGGAATAGACCCGCCCTCATCTGTCATACCATGGTTACGGGCCTTTTGAAGGTTCGTCATGTAGATAATGAAACAAGACTAATAAAAAAATGTTTACCAATTTTTGAGATAGGCTAACACTAAAGATTTGTAAAATGTGAACAGCTAACAAACTATTTCTACAGTTTAGAGAACCCAGTGGTAATATATATATATATATATATATTTCTGTGCATGTTCTTTAGGCCTAACAATTCCTTAGTAAATATGGATTTTATATGTGTTTATTTTAAAATTATGAAATTATTAGGCCTATGTAGTTATTTGTTATTAAAAATTTTGATAATATAAACTAATGAAAATGTGTTGAGTTTGATTGCTATTGCTGTAGAGACTAAGTTCATATCACTGAAGCCGATTCTACGTTTTGAAAATTTATTTTGTGTCACGAGTTATGCAATACATTTTGTGCCGTTACTGGAATAATTCCATTTTTTAAAAATGCATTTTGTGTCACGAGTCACGTAATAGGCCTACTTTTTCTCTCAAGTCACACAATACATATTTTGTTACGTGTCACATTTTGGGGTACCACTGAACTAATGTCCTGATTTGAAAAAAAAGGCCCAAGTTAGCGCATCGAATTGTAAACCCGAGGACTCATAGTTTGCATCCCCTTACCGCAAAGTCTCGTTTCATACTGGGGCTGTGGGTACACTGAAGGAGTAACGATCAAAGCCCAGTATTTGATTAGCCTAAAAGTTGATGGTGTTGACTAGCTGCTTTCCCTCTTGCCTATACGTTCAAAATTAGGTACGATTAGCGCAGATAGCACTTCTTTAGCTTTGTGCGAATATTGGAAACAAACAAAACTAAATGAACGGTTTGAAAATACATTTTGCAGCAAGAATCACGCAATAACTTTTGTATCAAGAGGCTACACATTGAGACTCATTTATAAGGCTGCTATTCGCGTTTACAAGTGTTGTTGTCATTTGCGGGAAACTGTTTGTGGCTTCTCAACTCAATTGGAACCGTTAATCCCTGTGCAGCTATGTTTTACTGGATATGGAAACGTTCAGATGTAGAACCTATCCTCTGTTGTTGAGCACTGGCTTTCTACGTCGAATGGGATGTTTCAAATATGTATGAGAAACTTTCATTGCTGGCTTGTAAACTAATACTGAACCACTGATGAATGAATATCATTGCACTCCATCGTGTGTTTACTGATGCTACTAGATGAAGAGGCTTCAACAGAATTACATGAACATTAAAGGTTTAAAATGCTGTTTCTCACTAGCATCAGAAAAAATAATAATTGGCACTGCATTGCCATCAGAAAACTTAATAATTGGTACTGCATTGCCATCAGAAAAGTTAATAATTAGTACTGCATTGCTATCAGAAAACTTAATAATTGGTATTTCATTGCCATTAGAAACATAAAATTGGTATTACATCACTAACAGAAGATTTAAAATTGATACTGCAATACCAACAGAAATTTAACCATGGTACTACTGCTTAATCGTGGTATTGCGTCATCAGAAAACTTAAAACTGGCACTGCATTACCATCAAAAACTTAAAATTGGTGTTACATTCTATCAGAAAAGTACAGAAAGAAAAAATACTTAAACAAATAGAAATGACTTTGGTTTTTAGTTTAAAGATTTGTTACGTACATTGATGTAATTTGCCTTCCACAAGACGACGTGTCTTATCAAATGGAACAGAAACGTACCAATTTATGGAACTTTGTTGCTTAACAACAAATAAACAGATTTAAATGTGGCTGACAGTAGTACGAGTACTTTTTTGTTTAAAGTTGTTTCATATATTTAATATGAATACATATATTTACATTAATTTTATTCTCTATTAAAATATGTTTAAAAAGTTTTCAAAAAAGCTAAGCTATATTGGTATTTTAAACCTGAACGGCATCTTATGCGGCAGGTAGCAGCACATGGCTAAACAGCCAGGTCAGAAGATCCAAAGTTCTGGTAACGCTGTCCATAATACTGAACTAATAACCCGAGGGAGAGCAAAGCCATAACGGGTTAGCTGCTGTATCACCGCAGGGAATCGAACTCCGGATTTTAGCATTGTAACTCCGTAGAATGACCGCTGTCTCATCGAGGGATCAAGTGTTTTGTCCAGCTCTTTTACCCAAATAACATTAACTGTTACTTTTATAACGCTTCCACAGTTGAAAGTGTAGAGCGTATTCATCAGCATCGTGGTGCAAACATCAAGCCTTCCCATCAGGAGGCCCAAGGTGCTAACCACTAGATCACATTCTCTGCTCATAAAAAAACAAAAACGAATTACATTTTATAAAATAAACAAAATATTCTAATATTAATATTTATAAACTGTAAGTTATATAAAAAAAAACATTTTAATAAGATAAAATGGTGAGAAAAATGGAATTTATGTATCAATGTTTTATAAAATCCTAGCTTTTATTTTTTGAATATTTTTAGCATGTAACTGTCACAGTTTGCTTAATAAACACGTTTAATTTCAATCTACACGAATTGAGTAGAAATATTAAACATATGTTATGTGAAAAAAGAACAACATTAATCTTAAAACTCTAGTACAATCTGGTTAGTTCATTTAATTGGTGAAATCACTAATTTCAATGAAAAATTATAGTCTTAAGTCCCTTTTTTCGTGTAATTTTATTTTATATTTGAGAACCGTGAAGTCTAGATAGTGATTTTTTATTATTTTCGGTAACTGATGTCCAGTTTTCCACAGTAATTATTAATGATTTGATTTTTCTTGCTCAACCCGAACATCATTAATCAGAAAGATACAAATAAATTACCGTTTTCTTAGCTAATCTACTGACATAGATCAGGATTGCATTATCCAGTATATTTAGTCTAGCCCCACAGTAACACAGCGGTATGTCTGCAGACTTACAATGCAAGAAACCAAGTTTCGATACCCATTGTGGGCAGGGCACAGACAGCCCATCGTGCCTAACTACAAATATTAACTTTATAATCCTTACTACTGTTAATTATCTTAATCGACTCCAATATATTAAGTTTATAATCTTTAGAAGTCGTTTATCTTAATCGACCATCCTTATCCCGTAGGTTAACTCCATAATACCTACCACAGGGTACTTGTTTATCTAATAATTTATAATATCACCAGAAGATTCGTAGCACTAAACTTTCCGATAAAATCACTATTACTTTAAAGAATGAATTTTATCAAATTAATTATAATTACCTGGTTAATAAAGTACGATTATTTAGGCATTCTGTGATATTCAATATTTTCCAAGATATAAGCAATTTAAGAGGGAGTTTTATTAACTGAGCTATGTTTACCTGGTTAACAAAATACGATTATTTAGGCATTCTGTGATTATTCAATATTTTTCAAGATATAAGCAATTAAAGAGGGAGTTTTATTAACTGAGCTATGTTTACCTGGTTAACAAAATACGATTATTTAGGCATTCTGTGA